GGAATGCAATAGGTTTGCGAGATGTTTGTTTGTGTAGGGTTGGTGACTGCCCCTTTAGAAGGGCTGTGTTCTCATTTAAATCTGTATTTAGGGGCTTTTTAAAAAGAGGATTTTTTTTTTCCCCTTCTCCTCTCCCATGAGGAGTAAGTGAGGGTTTTAATCCCCAGATTATTCTGATGTCTTGCATGCATGTTAAGCCTACATGCTTAAAATCCTCTGAAATTTGTTTAAACAAAAAAATACTGTGGTCATTTGGAGCTTCTCCTCTGAACAAGGCGTCACTTGCTTTAGTATTTGGATGCCCCTGAGATTCTTGAGTGCTTCTATCAGGAGGCAAATCTCATAACCCCTTTAGAGTTTGCTGATGGAGGAGGGATCGCCAGCCGCTGCAGAGTCCCGGGGATGGCAGCAGCCACAGTGTTAACACGGGAGAGCAAGTGCTGCTGCTGTGGGGTCAGGCTGGGCCCAGCACCCCTGGGGTCGGGGGAACGCTCCCTCTGCCTTCGGTGGGCGTTGGACCAGAGCCCAGCCCTCCTCCTGTGGGGCAGAGCTGGCTCTCTCTGAAAACAGCCTTTGTGGGAGGTGGTGGTTTTTTCGGGTCAGAAATGAAAAATGTAACTGCTTCTCTCCCACAGCCTGTCCTTTGAGAGGGTCCCCTGTTCTGTGCGGGGTTTTAGGTGCTTCAGGCAGGAGCACGGGCACCTTGCTTCTGTCCTGTACCCCGAGCCATGCGTGGATGTGAACCGCAGACACCCTGCGAGAGCCCTCGGCTCAGAGGGATTCGGAGCTACAGCAGCGTACGGCTGCGTAGAGCATCTGTGTTGTATCTCCCGTCACGCTGGGCTGGTAGAATGCCACTCATGAGTCGCAGGCATCTCGTCTTGATGGCAAACACCCTCCAAAGCCAAAACAAACCCCCGTCCTTTAACAATAGCCTCACAGGAATCCCAGCCTCTCGCGTCAGCGGGGTTATCCACGCACATGGCAGACGGCAGCGAGCAGGGCGGACGCAGGAGTAAGCCAGAAACCGTCCACTCTAATCCCTTGTGTCAGGACAAGCAAGAGGGTTGTGTGAAATCCTGGGAGAGGGTGCCTGCTCCAGGTGTGCTGAGGAGGGCAGGATTGGACCGTTTCACAGCCCCGGCTGCTGCAGGGATGCTTCTGGGGCAGCACGTCACACTGGGCTCCAGACCTTGTGCCCCACACCTTGTTTTCAAGGGGAGTGCAGCATTGCCAGCCTGAATCACACTGTTCTGGAGGAGGAGGCCCTCACAGCCGTGTTCCCTTCCCAGCTACTGAGGCTGGGTGTCAGAGTGGCATGGTGCCCGCTGCTCTGCCTTCCTCCTGCGCCCGTAAAGCAGTGGAGGAGTCTGCTGCCCGCTCCTGCCCCGTTGCTCAAGGGCATAATGGAGAAGGGCTGTGAGGACTCGTGCTTTTGTCTCCCACGGGGTTCCTCGGGACCCCTCCTGCTGCTGAGCCGCTCCCGCTGTTTTCTCTCCTAGGACTTGGACGTGGTGGGCGATGGCATGCAGTGTCCCCCGTCCCCTCTGCTCTTTGATCCTTCTGTGGCCCTCGATCAGTCCCTCAGAGATGTTGCCGAAGCCCCCATAGACATTCTGGCCCTGGAGGAGCCTTCCCACCCAGGCCTCCCTCCGCAGACGGCGCTGACGGACAGAGGAACCTCCTCTGCCTACGTCTTCTCCCCG